CAGCTTATTTTTGTGTTTTTAGTAGAGATGGGGTTTCACCATGTTGGCCAGGATGGTCTCAATCTCTTGACCTCATGATCCACCCACCTTGGCCTCTCAAAGTGCTGGGATTACAGGCATGAGTCACTGCGCCTGGCCGGGTTGTTTTTTAAAATTTATTTTTTTAGACACTATGTTGCCCAGGCTGGTCTTGAACTCCTGACCTCAAGCAGTCCCCCTACCTCGGCCTCCCAAAGTGTTGGGACTACAAGCGTAAGCCACGGTGCCCAGCCAGGGGAAGGGTTTTAACTGAGTCTCCTCTGACAGCTCTGACACTGTCTGCCTATGCAAATACTGAACTTCATCCAGGGAACGGTTGGCTCTGTACACTCTGCCAGAGAAGTTCTTGGGGATCACTGAGGGTCTGAACAGGTGAGGGACAGATGAAGGCAGGGCCGGAGGAGGGAACCACATGGCAGTGTGCAGGGTGGCCTGGAGTTCCATCATGAAGCTGGCACAGAGCCTAGATCAAGGGCAGCAGAGGGAACAGACAAGAGATGGATGTGAGTGATTACCATGGAAGACTGTCATCAAATATGGTATGTGGAGGTCATCACGGTGTGTCTCTCTCTTCATTATGGAAGCATCCCATGTTCACTGAAGGGATCTTGGAAAATATTTTTAAAATGAGAAAGCAGAAATGTTATCCTATAGACTCACCATTCAAATACCATCACTTTCACTCCTTTGATGGAATACCTTGTAGTCTTTCTTCTCTTCATATGTAGTTTTTCTTTTTAGTATGTAAGAAGCAGCATAAGGTAGTATTTGGAAAGTACGGCTTTTAATGTCAGAAAGACTTCAGATACAATCCTGGCTCTGTCACTTTTTTAAAAGAATCATTTGAACTTTTATTTGATTTATTTTTGGGACAGGGTCTAGTTCTTTCACCCAGGCTGGAGTACAGTGGCATGATCATAGCTCACTGTAGCCTTGACCTCCCCGGCTCAAGCAATCCCCCCACCTCAACCTCCTGAGTACCTGGTACTACAGGCATGCGCCACTATGCCTGGCTATGTTTTTGTATTTTTTTTTTTATAGAGATGGGGTCTTGCCATGTTGCCTAGGCTGGTCTTGAACTCCTGGGCTCAAGCAATCCTCCTGCCTTGGCCTCCTAAAGTGCCTGGATCACAGACATGAGCCATTGCGCCCGGCCTCAACTTTTATTTTAGATTCAGCGGGTATATGTGCAGGTTTCTTACATGGGTATAGGGTTTGGAGTATAGATGAGCCTGTCACCCAGGTAGTGAGCATATTACCTAAAAGGTTGTTTTTCAGCCCACGTTCCCCATGTTCCCCTCCCTCCCTCTCACTTCTGGTAGTCCTCAGTGTCTATTGTTCCATCATTATGTCAATGCTTAGCTCCCATTTATAAGTGAGAACATGTAGTATTTGGTTTTCTCTTCCTGCCTTAATTCGCTTAGGATAATGGCCTCCAGCTGCATTCGTATTGCTGGCAAGGACGTGATTTTGTTCATTTTATGACTGCGTAGTATTCCGTGGGATGTATGAAGTACATTATCTTTATCCAATCCATCACTGATGGGCATCTAGGTAGATTCCATGTCTTTGCTATTGTGAATTGTGCTGTGATGAACGTACAAGTGCATGTGTCTTTTTGGAAAAACAATATATTTTCCTTTGGTTATATACCCAGTAATAGGATTGCTGAGTTGAATGGTAGTTCTAAGTTTCTGAGAAATCTCCAAGTTGCTTTCCACAGTGGCTGAACTGATTTACATTCCCACCAACAATGTATAAGCGTTCCCTTTTCTCTGCATCCTCACCAGCATGTGTTGTTGTTGTTGTTGTCATTTCAAGTAACATTTATTGAGAACTCTTGGTGTCAAATGCTTTATCTGCATTAACTCATTTAATCCTCATAAAAAACCCTATGGGCCGGGCGTGGTGGCTCAAGCCTGTAATCCCAGCACTTTGGGAGGCCAAGACAGGCGGATCACGAGGTCAGGAGATCGAGACCAGCCTGGCTAACACGGTGAAACCCCGTCTCTACCAAAAAAAAATACAAAAAACTGGCCGGGTGAGGTGGCGGGCGCCTGTAGTCCCAGCTACTCGGGAAGCTGAGGCAGGAGAATGGCGTGAACCCGGGAGGCGGAGCTTGCAGTGAGCTGAGATCCGGCCACTGCACTCCTGCCTGGGCGACAGAGCAAGACTCCGTCTCAAAAAAACAAACAAAAAAAAACCCCTATGAAGCCCCACTTCCATTCAAGGAGACTAAGGCACAGAAAGATCAAATAACTTGCATAAGGCCACACGAAGTGGCAGATGCAAGAGCTAAACCCAGTAGTCTGAGTCTGAAGCTCACAAGTTTAACTTCTCTACAACCTGTCACCACTCTTCATTCACTACCTGACCTTGATGGAGTCAGTGAACCTTTCTGCAAAGTGGAAACAATTTCCAGAGTTGTCCTGAGCATTAGCAATCCTATGTCAAGTGCCTGGAGGGAACACAGTGCGCATCTCAACAAATGGTGGCTGCTCACCACTTGAAAGTGAGTTACCCCACCCTGGATAACACAGAGAAACCCCGTCTCTACTAAAAATACGAAAAATTAGCCGGGCATGATGGCGGGCGCCTGTAGTCCCAGCTACTCAGGAGGCTGAGGCAGGAGAATGGTGTGAACCCAGGAGGCGGAGCTTGCAGTGAGCCGAGATCATGCCACTGCACTCCAGCCTGGGCGACACAGTGAGACTCCGTCCCCCCAACAAAAAAAAGAAAGTGAGTTACGGGTTCAAGCAAGTTGAATCTGAGGTGAGGGCAGAACTTCCAGATGAAGTCAGAATTGCAAGGACCATAAAGTCCAGGGTTTAAGCACTGAAGCCATGGGGTTGGCCTGCCTGGGCTCCAATCCCTACTCTGCCACTTGGTTTTTTTTTTTTTTTTTTTTTTTTTTTTTTTTTGAGGAGGAGTCTGGCTCTCTTGCCCAGGCTGGAGTGCAGTGGCCAGATCTCGGCTCACTGCAAGCTCCGCCTCCCGGGTTCACGCCATTCTCCTGCTTCAGCCTCCCGAGTAGCTGGGACTACAGGCGCTCGCCACCTCGCCCGGCTAGTTTTTTGTGTTTTTTAGTAGAGACGGGGTTTCACCGTGTTAGCCAGGATGGTCTCGATATCCTGACCTCGTGATCCGCCCGTCTCGGCCTCCCAAAGTGCTGGGATTACAGGCTTGAGCCACCGCGCCCGGCCCCTACTCTGCCACTTTACTGTTGAATGACCTGACAAATCAGTTTACCTGTCTGAGCCTGTTTGCTCATTTGTAGAATGGGACTAAAAATAGTACTTCCCTAGATTTGTTTTGAGTATAGGGTAATGTATGGGCAGTGCTTAGGAACAGAGTTTAGGCATTGTCAGTGCTGAATTCATGTTGGTTTTTATAATGGTGAGTGTAATGGATGTAATGATAAATTTATGGTAATGTAATATTACCATAAGGTAATATTCCCCTGTATTAAGATTTTTGAGGTTGGGCGCAGTGGCTCATGCCTGTAATCCCAGCACTTTGGGAGGCTGAGGCAGGTGGATCTCCTGAGGTCAGGAGTTCAAGACTAGCCTGGCCAACAAGGTGAAACTCCGTTTCTACTAAAAATACAAAAATTAGCTGGGTATGGTGGCGCGCACCTGTAAGCCCAGCTACTTGGGAGGCTGAGGCAGAATCACCTGAATCTGGAAGGTGGAGGTTGCAGTGAGCCGAGATCATGCCATTGCACTCCGGCCTGGGTGACAGAGTAAGACTCCGTCTCAAAAAAAAAAAAAAAAAAAAAAGAAAAAGAAAAAGATTATTGAATGTGTTAGCCATAAGGGGAAATCAAATCACAAAACTCTTCCCAGTGACTGCACAATCATTTTCTTCATTTCCGGCACACCATCATTGTTCTATATCCACCAGTGTGCCAGGGTCTGTGGATAAACCCTAAAAACCCAGAGAAGGGGAGACAGGCCCCAGATTCCCACCCCAACACGCTTCATGTGAGCAGCTGAAGGATGTCGCAGTTCAGCAAAATCCAAGGGTTGGCCACAGGATCTGCTAGGCAAAGCTGCTCTGGATGAGAAACTGGGAAGAATGTTCCCATTGGGTTGGGGGTTGTTAAGCCATCAGGAAAAGGTTTGGAATCTCTATTGTAAGAGAGCATGCTATGTGATTCCTTCCTCCAGCCCTGCCTTCATCTGTCTTTCACCTGTTCAGACCCTTGCCGTGTAAAGAATGGTCTCTTAAGAGTTCTTTACTCAGGAGGAGCAATAAGCTTGGCTTCAAGGAGTCCACGGTTTCGTGACGGGCAATAACTCAGCTACTTGGTGAACTGGAGAACCTCCAGGCTTCCGAGGATGATATTTCCCTGGAAGAAAGTGGCCAGCAGCGTCCCTTTTGTGAAAGAGAGGAAGCCTGGGCCCCAGGAAAAGGGGCAACAGTCCAATGAGCCAGGGCAGCCTGGACGTGGGGAATCACCTCCGTTTCTCACCCTGACAGCAGGGAGGGCTTCCCGGAGCTGACAGTGAGGCAGACATCCCGGATCCCAGTTATCACAGGTGCAGCCACGCAACTTTTGTGTTCCCTTCCCGCCACGAAATGGAAATGATTTCCCGAGGGCCGGAAAGATTATTTGCATCAGGCCTCAGGTCTGGGGCTGGGAATGCAGGCCCCGGCCGGAAAGGAAGGCGGGAGGCCGCCGCCCCAGAGGCCGGACCCTCCCGTCCGGGCCGCGTCCCCTCCCGGCTGGGGATGCGCTTCGGGCGCGGGGCTCCCTCGCGAGGCTAGACTGGATGGAGCCCGAGAGCCCCTACAGGAGCTGGCTGCCGGGGAGGCGCCCGGGCTGCGGGGCCGCGGGGCGGGCCGGGCCGGGACTGGAGCTCGGCGCTGGAGGAGGCCGCCGCTCACCGGGCGTGGGCGGGGCCGGCAGCGCAGAGGTGAATGTCGGCCCCGCCCCGACGGCGCTGACTCAGTTTCACCAGAAACCAGGGGGAGAAGGCGGCCGAACCCCAGCTCTCCGAGCACCGGGGCGGAAGCCGCGGTCGGAGACGCGCAGGAAGCCGGGACCGGAACCTCGGCTGACCCGGCCCCACCCAACTCACCTGCGCAGGTAACCGGGGCCCCGGCGCGCGAGGCCGAGGCGCAGGCGGAGCGGGCTGGAGCATGTCCGTCCCTTTGTTCTGCGCTCTTGCGTGTGTCCGGGTACGTGACCTCCCTAGCGGTCCGCCTGTCGGTCCGTCTGGCTGCCGGGTCCCTGGAGGGCGAGTGGGAGGGCAGGGTCCGCGCTCCCTCTTCGCTCCCGGGGTGCTCCGGTCCCTCCTCCCCGCCACTTCCTCCTGGCCGGCCCGCCTCCTCCGAAGTCTCCCCGGCTGATCAGATGTGTCTCCTCCTCTGTCCCCTCCCTTCTCTCAGGTCACCAGCACCCTCGGAACCCAGAGGCCCGCGCTCTGAAGGTGATCCCCCTGGAGAGGAAGGCGATGGCCCCTGCGAGGACTATGGCCGGCACCCGCCGCGCCCCGGCCCGCATCCCTGCCGTCGCCTTGTGGCTTCTGTGCGCGCTGGGCCTCCAGGGCACCCAGGCCGGGCCGCCGCCCGCGCCCCCGGGGCTGCCCGCGGGAGCCGACTGCCTGAACCTCTTTACCGCTGGGGTGCCTGCCTTCGTGCTGGACACCAATGCCTCGGTCAGCAACGGAGCCACCTTCCTAGAGCCCCCCAGCGTGCGCCGGGGCTGGGACTGTGTGCGCGCCTGCTGCACCACCCAGAACTGCAACTTAGCGCTGGTGGAGCTGCAGCCCGACCGCGGGGAGGACGCCATCGCCGCCTGCTTCCTCATCAACTGCCTCTACGAGCAGAACTTCGTGTGCAAGTTCGCGCCCAGGGAGGGCTTCATCAACTACCTCACGAGGGAAGTATACCGCTCCTACCGCCAGCTGCAGACCCAGGGCTTTGGAGGTGAGGAGGGTGTCAGGATGAGTTTGGAGAGACTCGGAAAAGGGACTGGTTGTGGGGTCCTAGGGGAGGCGAACATCAGAGAGGAGTTAAGGAGAGTCCACTTCTTTTTTCTTTGCCTTTTTTTCTTTCTTTTTTCCTTTCTTTTTTTTTTTCTAAGGTGGAGTCTCGCTCTTGTCACCCAGGCTGGAGTGCAATGGCATGATCTCTGGTTGCTCACTGCAACCTCTGTCTCCCGTGTTCAAGTGATTCTCCTGTCTCAGCCTCCCGAGTAGCTAGAACTACAGGCACCAGCCACCAGGCCTGGCTAATTTTTTTTTTTTTTTTTTGGTAGAGCAGGGGTTTCACTATGTTGGCCAGGCTGGTCTTGAACTCCTGACCTCAGGTGATCCACCCACCTTGGCCTCCCAAAGTGCTGGGATTACTTCTACCCGAAGTCCTCCTTAGAAGTAGGCAGTACAAACAGTAAACAAATGAAAGGGGACACGAGTAGGGAGGGCAGGGCCCAGGCTCTGTCTCCTGAACTCAGGATATTCAGAGGTGATGGGCTGGTGCTCACAGGGAGGCCTTTGGCTCTGGGCTGTGTGTACTGGAGGGGAGAGGCAGTCCCCAGGACTCCTGACCTATGGCACTGATAGGCTGATTGAAGGAGTGAGCTGTCTGGATGGTCTGGTGACTAGAAAGGCACCTTGGCCAAGCACTGGTCTGGGTACACTGATGCCCTCTCAGGTGAGCCTGGCCATAGACTCCTCCACTGGCTGGACTTGGGACTTCTTAGCATCTCTCTACGCCCTAGGAATGGATTGGCCTTTTGGTGGTCCAGGAAGACTGCCAGATCCGAGACTAGAAAACAAGCCCAGTCTGCAGTTGATCCAAAGGGAGAGGAGTGATGTTGTAGGCACAGAAGCCTAGAGGCTCTGGGGTGGGGGATGAGGAGGGTTGTGGGGTGAGTCAGCCTGTTGGTATGTATACCTAGTAGGGAAGGGATGTCAGCTGTCCAGGCAGGTGTGTGTGCTTGTGCATGAGCCAGACAGGGCTCTCCCTGCTTAGAATCTGGTAGCCCAAGCCTTGTTTACTTCCATGGATAAAGGCAAAGTGAAGGCCAGGGCTCCTCCTCTTTCTTCCCGGGGCTGAACTGTCTGCTGGGATCAGGGCCAGTCCAGAGCCTTGGTTCCCCATTCTCTCTACCTGGGGTTCTGGCCAGGTGGGACTCCAGGGCAGGGGAGGGTCACCTCTCATAAGCTCCGTGAACACTTTACAGCTTACTGATTGCTGTGCCACACATCCTCTCACTCAGGCCTCATCACAACAACTTCCAAAAAGGGTGCTACTAGCAGTCATCCCACTTTTTAGATTAGGAAACTGAGACTCCCATGTTAAAGAATTTGCCCAGGGTAACACTGCCCATAAATGGTAGGCCTGGGATTCACCACAAGGGAGACCTCCAAAAGTCCCGTGCTGTTTTTCTTTTTTCTTTTTTTGAAATAATAAATAACCCGTGCTGTTTTTCACACAAGACCATCTCTCTGGTAAAAACCTAGCATTCTGACCCAACATAGCCCAGTGGATAACAGAGCCGGAGATTGGGGAGTTCGGGGGCCAAAACTGGACTGGGGCCACATCTGGGCGTGGTCTCCATTCTGGAAAGTGGAGAAAGGGCTTTCCTCCGCAGCCTTTTCCTGGGCTAGTCACTCTGCCAGGCTAAGGGTCCTCTTTTCTCCCTATCCTTCCAGTGCTCTCCTGGGTCTCTGAGGAGAGGTGATATGGGGATTCCTGGGGATGGGAGGGGGACATATCTGAGGGCCAGGCTGGGCCACCAAGTCCCACTGGACCAGGGCTGCAGCCTGTTCCACAAGGAAGTAGCAGAAAGTGTAGGTGGTGATGACTCTTATTGACCTGAGTTGCTCCTGCCCTTCCTGCTCCACAGAGGCCCCATGGGAGTCCCTCTCCAGGGCCAGAGTGTGAAATTCTGGAGTCTGGTCAGGGAGCTGAGCTGGACTGTGGCCCCATGGTCTTGAGACCAGCCATCCTCATCTGGAAACCCCCAGGACCTGCCTGTTTGCCACAAGAGAGGGTGGAGTGGGGATTTCCTGGTACATTGAGGGAGGCAGGTAGGGCTTGGACTGAGTATGAGCTCCAGGCCATTCTAGGCCATTCTTAAGAGTACTGCAGTGCTTTGGGAAGTGGGAAAAGCTGTGTGTGTGTCAAGGGGTTTATTCTTAGCTGGGTCCAGTTAGAGAGGTTGGAGGTGGGTAATGACAGGGTAGAGTCATTAAGGGCTAGGGTGGATGAGGCAGGTTGGGTGGGTCACGGGCACTGAGAGCTTCCAAACCTTTGATTCTCCTATTACATAGATAAATGCTCCCCAGAATGCGTTTGTTTGTTCCTCTTTCTGCCTGTGGCCAGGCCAGGCCAGTAGATTCCTGCAGCTGGAGGCCGAGCAGCTTGCACTTCCTCCTCTCCCCTTCTCTTCCCCCACCTCTCCTCCTCCCTAGTCCTACGAAGTGGCTTAGGAGGTGGAGTCTGCACTTCCCTGAGGTCCTGAGACCTGGTAACTACTGGGGGAGGGGCTGGTTTTATTGCTACTCTAGCCCTTTGCTCTCTTGGGGGTGGGAAGAAGGGAGTGGTGAGGCAAGGTACCTGCTCCTTGGTCCTGGGGGCTGGGGCTTGGAGAGGACTGAGTTGTGTGGGGGTGAGATTCAGCCTCTCATTCAGCTCAAAGTCTGATGCATCACTCTGCATGCTACTTCCACTCTGGGGGCCTAGTGGGGCTAGCCTGTCTGTCTGCTAGACAGACTGCTAAGTAGTCTGTCCTCTTTCTACAAAATGCAAGGATGGAGGACTGGGCTCCTCCCAGCTCACTACTCCCTTGGCATGTGCTCTCAGGGTACTCTCCTGCTTGTCAACCAAGCCCCTGGGCTGGGAGGTTGCCTCCAGACAGCCACTTTTCGTTCCTGCTCATTCCTGTCTTATTTCCCCTAATCCCTGGAACCCAGTTCTCTTTCTATTATTTTTGTAGGCCTCTGAAACATTCAACATGTTTCTTCCTGAAATCTCTCCCTTCCCATCCCTTTTGCTGTCATTGTGCATCCTGGTCTTCTCAGCCCCAGGACCACCTTCTGTGAGTCCCCCATTGGCTCTGCTTTCTCTGCCTCACCAAAGAGGAATCCCTGTGACTCAGCCTCCTACCAGCTTATCTCTTTACCTTCCTATGTTCTTATCTCTTTACCTTCTCTTCTTTTCTTTGCATTCACTCTAACACTTGAAAAAACTCTCTAGAGAGCCTCTGTGGAGGGTAGTTGGGCAATATCTATCGAACCTAAATGCACACAGCCCTGGACACAATTCCACTTGTAGGAATTCATCTTGCAGCTGTACCTATACACGGATAAAACAGCTTACCAGCTAGTTAGTCCCTGTAGTATTGTTTATAATAACGAAGAATTGGAAACAATCGCATTGTCTGTCAACACATCCTATAATTGAATACTGTCATGTTGTTTTCATAATAATAATAAACCCTAAGGCAGCATGGTTTAGTTCTTAGGACAGAAAGAAAGAAAATCTAAATCAGGAAACTGGTAGGGACTGGTCAAATAAATTATAAATTGTGATACATTTATACAATGAATATGATACAGCAACAACAAAAGGAAACTCTTCATGTGTTGCTAGGGAACGATTTCCAATATATATGAAGGGCAAAACAAGATGAAGAACTCACATGCCTGCAAATTCAAATACTGTCTCTTGATATTCTGTCTCTCACATACACACACACACACACACACACACACACATATAAATGGATACCTTTGGGGTAATAAACCTGATGGAGAAGGTTCCTTCTTAAGGAGAAGAGGTAACTTAATTTTCACTATTGGTTTTTGCTTTTCTGATTTTTTTTTTTTTTGAAATGGGGTCTCACTCTGTCAGCCAGGCTGGAATTCAGTAGTGTAACCACAGCTCGCTGTAGCCTCGACCTCATAGGCTCAAGCAATCCTCCCAGCCTCATCTTCCTGAATAGCTAAGTAGCCACCACACCTAGCTAATTTTTTATTTTGTAAATATGAGGTCTCACTATGTTGCCTAGGCTAGTCTCAAACTCCTTGGCTCAAGCCATCCTTCTGCTCAAGCTTCCCAAAGTGCTGGGATTACAGGTATGAGCCACCACACCCAGCCACCTTTTGAATTTTATATCATACATGTATTACCTAAACTAGAAAAGCAAAATTTAAAAACCCAAGATTATAAAAGCAATTAAAATCACACCTCTGAGCGGGTGGATAACCTATAGAATTACGTTTTGGAGAAAGCATTCGCTGTGGAGCATTCGCTTGGTTCACATCCCAGCTCTGCCTTTAGAAACTGAATGACTCTGGGCAAGCCATTTAATCTTTCTGGTGTCAACTTTCTCATCTGAAAAGAGGTGAGAATGTAGGTGTGGCAGGCTGGTTATAAAGGTACATGATGGACTCCAGGGGACAATAAACTTTTTCTGTAAAGATCTAAATAGAAAATTATTAGGCTTTGTGGGCCGTACAGTCCTACTTGTGACTACTCAGCTCTGCTGTTGTTACATGAAAGCAGCCATACACAACATGTAATGGGCAAGGCTGTGTTGCAATCGATGGACACAAATTTGAATTTCATGTGCTTTTCACATGTCATAAAAAAGGATTCTCCTTTTGTTTTTTCATCCATTCCAAAATATAAGAGATAGTGGGCTGGATTTGGCCTGCAGGCTAGTGCCAACCCCGGGTATGGCTGATGCAGGTGGAGTCCCTAGCATGCTGCCCAGCATATACTCAGCCAGCGCCTCTCTTTCCAAGCCATGCCTATCCCTCATTGTCTGCTGGTTCTGGGTGGCTTGCTTTCTCCCAAATTTAACTTCGCTGTGACTTAACCCATATGTTCCCTCTAAATCCGGTTTCCCTTCTGCCTGTGTCCTGGCTTTTTCTTCCCAGTTCCCAGAGACTGGCAGGGGAGAAGCCAGAAACATCAGCCCAGCGTTGTTTCTCACATCCTTCTCTCCATTCCCTTGACTGCTCTGGCATTCGGGCCACTCCTGTTCTATCCGCCCTGGACCACTGTATTGGTCTACTTGCCAGCCTCCTCGTGCCACAGAATACTTCCAAACGAATGGGAAAACAGCTGCCGCCCAGAGCTCAGGAGTGTCCCTGCTGTCCAAGCCTTTGGCCCCTCCCTTTGAACTCCTGGACCTCTGTCATGTATCTAAGAGGTCAATGTCTGGTGCAGCCGTGGCCTCCAGGACTCTGCGCCACTGCTCACGGCCAGTGTCTGTCCCCTTTCTGTACTACCAGTTGTTTAATATTTGAATGTTACTCCTGCTGTGTCCAAACAACCTGGCCTGGCATCCAGGGTGCTTTCAGGTCAACTCAAACCCAGCTGTTCTCCTTACTGTCCACCGAACTGGCCTTGCAAATTCCTAACTCCTTGCTTTGCTTTGGTTTCTCATGAGTTCTACCATTTTCTTTTCTTTTTTTTTTTTAGATGGAGCCTCGCTCTGTCACCAGGCTGGAGTGCAGTGGCACGATCTCATCTCACTACAGCCTCCGCCTCCTGGGTTCAAGCGATTCTCCTGCCTCAGTCTCCTGAGTAGCTAGGATTACAGGCACGTGCCACCATGCCAGGCTAATTTTTTGTATTTTTAGTAGAGAGGGGGTTTCACTGTGTTAGCCAGGATGGTCTTGATCTCCTGATCTTGTGTCTGCATGCCTTGGCTGCCCAAAGTGCTGGGATTACAGGCATGAGCCACCTCGCCCAGCTGTGCTCTGCCATTTTCAACAACACCCTACATTCTCCCAACAACCAAACAAGAACAAAAACAAAAAAATCAAAAAATCCTTTCTCCCTCCTCCAGAAAGCCTTCCCTTATCCTCTTAGCCTGCCGTGGCCTCCTTTCTCTGAACGTCCACTGCCTTGTTTTGTCCACATGTTGCTTCATGTCATGGGGTCTTATCTGCCCAACTGGACTAATCCCCTGAAGGGCAATGTATTAATTTCTTAGAGCTGCTGTAACAAATGACTACGAACTGGTTGACTTAAAACAACAGAAATTTGCTGGGTGCAGTGGCTCACGCCTGTAATCCCAGCACTTTGGGAGGCTGAGGCGGGTGGAACACGAGGTCAGGAGATCGAAACCATCCTGGCTAACACGGTGAAACCCCATCTCTACTAAAAATACAAAAACAAAAAAAATTAGCCAGGTGTGGTGGTGGGTGCCTATAGTCCCAGCTACTTGGGAGGCTGAGGCAGGAGAATGGCGTGAACCCAGGAGGCGGAGCTTGCAGTGAGCCCAGATTGCATCACTGCACTCCAGCCTGGGCAACAGAGCGAGACTCCGTCTCAAAAAACAAAAAACAAAAACAAACAAACAGAAAATAGCAACAGAAATTTGGCCAGGTGCAGTGGCTCCTGCCTGTAATCCCAGCACTTTGAGAGGTTGAAGCAGAAGGATCACTTGGGGTCAGGAGTTCAAGATCAGCCAGGCCAATGTGGTGAAACCCCATCTCTACTAAAAATACAAAAATTAGCCGGGCATGTTGGTGCACACCTGTAATCCCAGCTACTCGGGAGGCTGAGGCAGGAGAATTGCTTGAACTCTGGAGGCAGAGGTTGCAGTGAGCCAAAATTGTGCTACTGTACTCCAGCCTGGATGAGAGTGAGACTCCATCTCAAAAAAAAAAAAAAAAAAAAATTATTCTCGCACAGTTCTGGGGGCCAGAAGCCCCAAGTCAAGGTGTCAGCAGGGCTGCGCTCCCTCCAAAGACCCTAGGGGAGAATCCTTCCTTATCTTTTCCAGCTTCTGGTGGCCCCAGGCATACCTTGGCTGTGGCTGCATCATTCTAGTCTCTGCCTCTGTCTCCGCGTGGCCTTCTCTTCCTTCACTCTGTCTTCTCTTCTGTTTCTTATGAGGATACTTTGTCATTGGATTTGGGGCCTCACCAGCTCATCCAGGATGATCTCATCTGGAGATCCTAATCACTTCTGCAAAGACCCTCTTCCCACATCAGACCACGGTTACGGTCCCAGGGGTTAGATGTGAACATATCTTGGAGGGGCCGCCATTCAGCCCCTACAGGTAGCGATCCTGCACTGTGCTCGTCACCTTCCCTGATCCCTGACCCTGAGGTGGGGAAGCCTCAGACACAGGCACTGTCAAGTCAAGGAAGGGCGTGGCTCCCGGGACCCCTTGTAACTGGAAGCTGAGTGTGTCTGAGGTGTTTCTATTGTAGAAAATAGAAACAAGCCCATTCCCTCACGTGTGTGTGTGTGTGTGTGTGTGTGTGTGTGTGTGTGTGTGTGTTTACTCACTAAGATCAGATGGCAATTTGTTCAGTAATTTGCTTCAGAAAGAGGGTTTTACAGCTGGGTGTGGTGATTGCACCTTTAGTCCCAGCTACTCACGAGGCTGAGGCAGGAGGATTGCTTGAGTTTGAGGCTATAATGGCCGTGCTCGAGTCTGTGAATAGTCACTGTGCTCCAGCCTAGGAAACACAGCAAGACCCCATCTCTCAAAAAAAAAAAGGAAAGAAAGTGGGTTACAACATAAAAATATCTTCAGTGTACCAAAAACATGCTGTCTCTGAATAGAGATCAAGAAGCTGGTTCTGTTGGGGGCTCCCACCTGCACCCTATGCAGGCTGCAGAGTCCTCGTTTGGTCTAGGTGGGGCCCATACTGTCACCACCCCACTTTGCTCCTAGGAGAAGCCTGGTCCATCTAGTGAGAATTGACCTTATCTCACTTTCTCCCCCCACCAGGGTCTGGAATCCCCAAGACCTGGGCGGGCATAGACTTGAAGGTACAACCCCAGGAACCCCTGGTGCTGAAGGATGTGGAAAACACAGATTGGCGCCTACTGCGGGGTGACACGGATGTCAGGGTAGAGGTGAGACACTGGGCTGACTCTCCGACCCCGCCCTCTGCCTGCCAGCCTTCTGGGAGCCCCTTTCTGGGGCCCTAGGCCAACCAGTGGCCCCGGATGGGATGGGGAGGAGAGAGGCTGAAGATGCATTTAATCCAAGTCCCCCTGGCCTCGCCAGGGGTGTGGGTGTGTGTCTGGCCGAGCCTGGGGCAGCCCAAGGTATCGGGGGTGCCCAAGCCTGATGGCCACTCCTGTGTGCAGAGGAAAGACCCAAACCAGGTGGAACTGTGGGGACTCAAGGAAGGCACCTACCTGTTCCAGCTGACAGTGACCAGCTCAGACCACCCAGAGGACACGGCCAACGTCACAGTCACTGTGCTGTCCACCAAGCAGACAGAAGGTGAGGGAGGGGTGAGGAGGCAGCACCTGGAGCCCCCGCTCTGCGGATTGGCTGCATGGTCCCCTCATAAGCTCTCCCCCGTAGACTACTGCCTCGCATCCAACAAGGTGGGCCGCTGCCGGGGCTCCTTCCCACGCTGGTACTATGACCCCATGGAGCAGATCTGCAAGAGTTTCGTTTATGGAGGCTGCTTGGGCAACAAGAACAACTACCTTCGGGAACAAGAGTGCATTCTAGCCTGCCGGGGTGTGCAAGGTGGGCCTTTGAGAGGCAGCTCTGGGGCTCAGGCGACTTTCCCCCAGGGTGAGTGGTCTCTCTTCTGTGGCCAGGGAGGTGGGTGGTGAGAGTTCTCCCTTGCCTACCCCCCCCAATCATCTTATCCCCACTGGAGCCTGGTCATGCCTCCTCTCATGTCTCTGTTCTCTCTCCCAGGCCCCTCCATGGAAAGGCACCATCCAGGTGGGCTTTACTCCCCTCCCCATCCCCCATCCCCTCCACTTCTCCAGCCCATATCATCCCCATGCCCCTGAGCAGCCTGCCTTTGTCCAAGCCGTTCCTCCCCTCAGAGTTTATGGAAGTACCACAAATATCCCTCCCCTTCCAGCCCAGCATCCTCCTGTGAGGATCCACCCAGTCTGCGGGGAGAGGAGTGGGGTCGGTGGAAAGGGAATGGGGGATGTGCTGTGTCTGGGCAGAGAGGCCCAGGTAGAAGATGGACCCTGGGCACTTGTTCTTTGCTTGAGCCTGACCTCCCCTCCACCCGTCCCGCCCCCACCCAGTGTGCTCTGGCACCTGTCAGCCCACCCAGTTCCGCTGCAGCAATGGCTGCTGCATCGACAGTTTCCTGGAGTGTGATGACACCCCCAACTGCCCCGACGCCTCCGACGAGGCCACCTGTGAAAAATGTGAGGCCGGGGAATAGAGGGGGTTGGGCAGCAGACAGGGAGGTCCTGACAGCCTTGCCCTGAACCCCTGGGAGACCCTTGTTGGGGCTGAGCCTCTGACATTTCATCTCTGCAGACACGAGTGGCTTTGACGAGCTCCAGCGCATCCATTTCCCCAGTGACAAAGGTGAGATCCTCCCCAGGTGCCCTGGATCAGGGCAGACTCTGACACTGCCGTCCTCACTATTTCTATGCAGCAGTGCCTGAGGGGCCTGCCGGGTATACGGGCCTGTGGGCACGAAGAGCCGGGGTGGGCTCCCAGTTCTCCAGATGCTCAGCTTCTTCCCTGGCTGGGTCCTGGGCTCTCTTCTGTGGCTCTGTGTTTTCCAGGCATCAGTCATTCTCCAAACACCTTCATAATTTCAGCCATGCCCACCGCATGTTACTCAGATCTTATTTACTTAATCAGTTACTTTTTAAATGTAATATATTAAAAAGGAACTTTCACATCACTACTATAAATGGGAAGCCACTATTACTTGCCAAACATTAAAAAACAACAAAAATAAATATAATAAAACAAAAGTTTTAGCTTGCCAGGCGCGGTGACTCACGCCTATAATCCCAGCACTTTGAGAGGCCAAGGCTGGCAGATTGCTTGAGCTCAGGAGTTCAAGACCAGCCTGGGCAACATGGCAAAACCCCATCTCTACAAAAAATAGAAAAATTAGCCGGATGTGGTTATGCGTTCCTGTACTCCCAGCGACTCAGGAGGCTAAGGTAGGAGGATCACTTGAACCTGGGAGATGGAGACCAGTCAGTTGAGATGGCACCACTGCACCTCAGCCTGGGCAACAGAGTGAGACCCTGTCTCAAAATAATAATAATAATAATAATAATAATAATAATAATAATAAGCTCTAGCTGGATGCTGTTGCCGGCCAAGGCTCAGACCCTGAGGCCCATCCTCTTTGTTAAGAAATGTAAATCAGCCAGCCGTGGTGGCTTACACCTGGAATCCCAGCTACTAGGGAGGCTGAGGTGGGAGGATCGCTTGGCCTAGGAGTTTGAGGCCAATCTGGGCAACATAGCGAGACCCTGTCTAAAAAAAAGAGGTAAACCACCCAGTGTTGGAAAGACCAACAAAGACCCAGTGTTGGAAAACTGAGACTGTGACCCAGTCAGAAAAGCTGAAAGAAAATTGAAATAACTATGAGTCAGCGTAGTTTACTTTTGTGCCTACAATTATTGTCCAGGCTTTGTCTTCCCTTTTCTGGCACCACTGCAGCTGGGCCAGGTGTTTTGGGGCCTCTCAGGCCCTCCCTGAGCCATGGTGGGTGGGGAGGTGCTGGGCAGCAGCCACATGGAGCCTAGCAGAAGGTGGCAGGGAGGTCGTGGACTCGCTCACCACAGCCTGCTCCATACCCCCCAGGGCACTGTGTGGATCTGCCAGACACAGGACTCTGCAAGGAGAGCATCCCGCGCTGGTACTACAACCCCTTCAGTGAACACTGTGCCCGCTTTACCTATGGCGGTTGTTATGGCAACAAGAACAACTTTGAGGAAGAGCAGCAGTGCCTCGAGTCTTGTGGCGGCATCTCCAGTGAGCGGGCCAGTGAGAGGGTGGGCATGTACAGGGGGAAGGCTTAGCCAGTGGCCTCCACTCTGTCCCCAGGCCTGTGGGAGTCACCCCTCCATCCTCAGAGTGCCTAGAGTAGGGGTGGGAGAGGATGGCAGTGCGGGGTCTGGGGCACTGGGGAGCAGCCGAGTCTCTGAGCCCTTAGTACTGACTGGTCTCTCCCCTCATCATTCTACAGAGAAGGATGTGTTTGGCCTGAGGCGGGAAAACCCCATTCCCAACACAGGTAAGCCCTGGTCTGTCCTGTAACTGAGGTTGGCATGTAGGTATCAACTCACGGATCAACTCCATCTGATGGGTTGTGACAGCCCAACCTGTGTTGAGAAGGATGCCAAGGTGGCCTACAGAGACAGAGTACCGTAATCAAATAGGGATGCCTGCCACACATGAGGGAGGGAGTACAGTAAAGTGCGTGCCGATGTCCGTCAGCAGCGTCCCAGGCTTCCCCCAAGCTAACTGCAAGGAATGCAGTTTGAGCTGAGACCTGAGGCCCACCAGAGTTCCTCTGAGCTCCGCACAGAGCTGTTCAGCTGCTCATATGTGGGAGGTCTGAGCCGGGTGCCCATGTCCTTCCACACCTGGCATCCATTTGACTTGGTCCCTTCCATAGAGTGGGGGTGGGTGTCAGAACCAGGCAGGCTATGGGAGCCCCTTATTCTACCCCTTCTTCCCCCAGGCTCTGTGGAGATGGCTGTCGCAGTGTTCCTGGTCATCTGCATTGTGGTGGTGCTATCCATCCTAGCTTACTGCTTCTTCAAGAACCAGAGAAAGGGCTTCCACAGCCACCACCACCACCACCACCCACCACTGCTAGCTCCACTGTTTCCACTACTGAGGACACGGAGCACCTGGTCTATAACCACACCACCCAGCCCCTCTGAGCCTGGGTCTTGCCGGCTCTCACTGGGCCCTGCTTCCTGCTTGCCAAGGCAGAGGGCTGGGCTGGGAAAAACTTTGGAACCAGACTCTTGCCTGTTTCCCAGGCCCACTGTGCCTCAGAGACCAGGGCTCCAGCTCCTCTTGGAGAAGTCTCAGCTAAGCTCAGATCCTGAGGAAGGGTTTGGAAGGAGCAGAAAACCCTTGGACCAGAAGTACCAGACTAGATGGACCTGCCTGCATAGGAGTTTGGAGGAAGTTGGAGTTTTGTTTCCTCTGTTCAAAGCTGCCTGTCCCTACCCCATGGCGCTAGGAAGAGGCTTGGGGTGGTATCAGACCCTGGAGGCCCCAACCCCGTCCTCCGGAGCTCCTCTTCCACGCTGTGCGCCCAGGGCTGGGAGGAAGGACTTCCCTGTGTAGTTTGTGCTGTAAAGAGTTGCTTTTTGTTTATTTAATGCTGTGGCATGGGTGAAGAGGTGGGGAAGAGGCCTTCCCCTAAGATTGGGCTCCCTGCCCTTGACCAGCCCCAACCTGGCCTGGACTGGCAGACAGAACCAGGAGAGGCTCAGCTGCATCCCGCAGCCCCCACCCCCAGGTTCTCCAACATCACAGTCCAGCCCGCCCACAGGGTAATAAAAGTGGTTTGTGGGGTTTCTGGCTCTGTTCTATGGGCCAGGAGGGAGACAGGGTTGCTGGGGGGTGATGGGACCGTCCTGTTCAGCTGGTTCAGGCTTTGGCCACCCTGTTGAGCAGGTTTTCCCATCGTCTCTCTCGAAACTGGCCTGGCCCCTGAGGGTAGAGAGCAGTGCCAGGTTTGACCACCAGAGGGGAGGAGTGAGAGGGCCATGGGAGCCACGAGTGTGAGGAGGCTACAGTGCTGCTGTGCAACATTTCTTCCTGGTGTGATCCTCTCCACAAGCCAGCTGAGCTCTCCACAGTTCTGTTCATTTGGAGGTTGGGGTTAGGGGTGTACAGGCACCGTGGCTCCTACCTCCACCGGTTAGGGCCCAGGTGACTGGCTGCCTCCCTCCCCACAGAAGCCCTGGCTTCTGCGCTGGAGTGCAGCACCTGCTAACCAGGCTCTGAGCTCCTTCCCAGGAGCCTTTAGTGGAGACACTCCACTCCAACCCACACCCCTGCATTTGTTCAAGCTACCTCTTGGTGCCCCCCCCCAAAAAAAAAAAACAACAGCCGGGCGCGGTGGCTCACGCCTGTAATCCCAGCACTTTGGGAGGCCGAGACGGGCGGATCACGAGGTCAGGAGATCGAGACCATCCTGGCTAACACGGTGAAACCCCGTCTCTACTAAAAAATACAAAAAACTAGCCGGGCGAGGTGGCGGGCGCCTGTAGTCCCAGCTACTCGGGAGGCTGAGGCAGGAGAATGGCGTAAACCCGGGAGGCGGAGCTTGCAGTGAGCTGAGATCCGGCCACTGCACTCCAGCCTGGGCGACAGAGCAAGACTCCGTCTCAAAAAAAAAAAAAAAAAAAAAAAACAACTTTGAGCTCATTTCCTTGTTTATTCAGTGAATTATATTGAGCTCCTCTGTGCCAGACACTGCCAATCATTAGAAATTTGATACTTCCGAGAGAGGCACAGAGGAAGCACCATTTAAATGCTTTACGCATCTCGAGTTGCTGGCGCTGCACACAACCCTTGTGATGACAATACAATCGTCCCCATTTTACAGGTGAAGAAAGTAGTTCATTGAAGTTGCCTCCCCAAGGCCCTAGAGCTGGGATTGGGGGACTGGATCCCCAGAGTCTAGTCTTACAAAAGAGGTAGCAGGGTTGGGGTGGGGGGTCACTTAAAAGCAAATTTTAAGCAAGTACAACTGCCATGAATGTACATATATGAAGTTATACGTGTACAGCTCAATGAGTTTCCGTAATGACACACACCTCTGAGGCAAGCACCCAGATCAAGAAGCAGACCTTCTTAGCACGCCGGAACAGGCCTTTTGATGGGTAACACCTGGTTTTGCTCAGCCTGGACCACCTCCCCATTTTGCACACCTCAGCCTAATCTCAAAACCTTGCCACAGAACGCCAGGCGGTGGACACTCCCTGCCTCACACTCCTGCGTCTGCTAACACCACCCTGAGCCAGAGCACCTCTTGTTTCCTTTACTATCTGTCTTCCTGCCAGGTTGTGAGCTCCCAGAGCCGCAGATGGCATCCGGTTATGTTTGGGTTCTCGGCACCCCATGCTTCCTCTGTGACCTTGGTAAATGGTAGTTTAGTAAATGTTGAGTAAGTGGCGGGGTGGGGGGGGGCTCATCCCCATTGTTCCATTTCATAGGGCACAGTGTTTTCCCTTCTAACCCCCTACTCTGACACTCATCCATCCTTCGAGGCTCAAAATGGACTTGATCCCTACTGCGAACAACCCCCATTATCAGTTGGTTCTCAGACTCTACCCTAGTATCTAGAACAGAGATCAACACAGAACAAATACTTAATAAGGGTTTGTTGGCCTGAAGTGAACACCCTCTCAGGGAGGGATAGACATCAAGTGAGAGGATGCCAGGCAAAGTGCCGCCCCCAGTAACAGCTGCTTGCATGTGCAGAGGGAGTGCCCGAGGAGGTGGGAGCTCTTGGGGGTCACTAGGGGGCGCTGTGACTATGACTGGATGCCATCTTCTTCCTGCAAGGATGTGAGGGCTCAGTCTCAGGCAGGTGACAGGAGTGGAGTAATGAACGCCGAGACACAGCTCCTGCTCTCCTGGTGCTCACACTCTGGTGTGCAGGCCACAGGATTGCAGATACGGTGACAAAACAATCTGTTCCCCAAACTTCTCCTTATCCCTGAGACCGCCCCAGCCATCCTCTGCTCTGTGCCCACCCACATGACTCAGAACTTTGATCCCTACCTCCATGCCCTGAACAGGCAGTTTCCTCTACTTCAGAAGTCCCCACAGCCCTGGAAAGCTCCTACTTTATCCTGTGCTCCAGCTCACAAAGCTTTCTCTGGCTCTCCAGCCAAAGTTCATTGCTGCCCTCTCCACGCACTCCTGCTCTACACGGCTCTGCTGCATGCATAAGCCCAAGCTAGTGTGTGTCCCCCTTTATCTAGACAAGACTCCTCAGGGCACTGGCCAGGTCTTAGTTATCCTAGCATCTCCCAAACTGGGCCCTGCTTCTGGGTACCAGGTATCTGAAAAATGACTGCTGGAACAAAACAGAGGCCGGTCAAGAGGAGGAGATTAAGGTTAATAAGTGGCTTCGTGGAGAAAGTCTAACATCAGGCGAGTGACCCTGGGCGGTGGCTCACGCCTGTATTTCCAGCACTTTGGGAGGCCGAGGCAGGTGGATCATTTGAGGTCAGGAGTTCGAGACCAGCCTGGCCAACATGGTGAAACCCTGTCTCTACTAAAAATACAAAAATTCGCTGGGTGTGGTGGCACACACCTGTAATCCCAGCTACTTGGGAGGTTGAGGCAGGAGAATCGCTTGAACCCGGGAAGTGGAGGTTGTAGTGAACCAAGATGGCACCACTGCACTCCAGCCCAGGTGACAGAGTGAGACTCCATCTTAAAAAAACAAAATAAAATAAAAAATAAAAACTAGGTGAACAGGGGTCTCCAAGAGATTCTTGCACACGTATGTACACAGCATTATTCACAATAGCTAAAACATGGAATCAACCTAAGTGCCTATCAACAGATGAATGGATAAGCAAAATGGAGTGCACACAATCTACATGGTGGAATACTATTCAGCCTTAAAAAGGACGTTCTAAGATACGCTACAATACAGATGAACCTTGAGGAAACCTATATTATGCTAAGTGAAATAAGCCAGTCACAAAAAGACAATATGATTCCACTCATCTGAAATTCTTAGAGTAGTCAAAATCATAGAGACAGTAGAATGATGGTTGCGGGGGAAAGGGAAATAGAGAATTATTGCTTAATGGGTACGGAATTTCAGTTTTGTAAAAGGAAAAGGCTCAGGAGATGGATGGTGGTGATTGTTGCACAACAATGTCAATGTACTTAGTGCCACTAAACCATATACTTTAAAACGGTTAAGATAGTAAATTTTACATTATATGTATTTTACCACAGTAAAAAAAGATTGGGAAAAAAATGAGATGAGCAGATGGGTGTGGGTGTTCCATGCATACAAAATCACACTGAGCAAAAGCTGGGCAGTGGAGATCCTGGGTTTTGTATGGGATCTACAAGCTGCTCAGTTTGGAAGCAGGGAGGTGGAAGCTGGGAGTTTGGTGGGTGGAGGGGATTTAAGCAGGGGAAAGGAGTGATCTAAACTTTAAAGAGTAGGCCGGGTGCGGTGGCTCATGTCTATAATCCCAGCACTTTGGGAAGCCAAGGTGGGAGGATCACCAGAGGTTGGGAGTTCGAGACCAGCCTGAACAACATAGAGAAACCCCATCTCTACTAAAAATACAAAATTAGCTGAGCGTGGTGGCACATGCTCGGGAGGCTGAGGTGAGAGAATCGCTTGAACCCGGGAGGCAGAGTTTCAGTGAGCTGAGATCACACCACTGAACTCCAACCTGGGCAAAAGAGCAAGACTCCATCTCAAAAAAAAAAAAAAAAAAAGAATGGGCAGATAAGCAGGCTACATCACCAGAGGTCACAGCACAGGGAGAGGGACAGAGGGAGGAAGCAACACCAAGTTAATTGGGTGAGGGAACCTGTGTGAAGTGCATAGCAGGTCTCTGGTGACGGCTAGTCGAAGGTTGAACACCGGCAGCCTGCAACCATACTTTCACTCAAACAATGGCTTAGTTTCTTTAATTTAGTTGCCAACATTTAAAGAGTCAGAAGGCTTCAATGAAAAAAAAAAATCCATATTGCTAACTGCTTGTGAGAACTCAGGGAACCTGGCAATCCAGGCACAGAGTTCAGGGTTCTCTTTAGCTGGGCAGGCACTAACCCATTCACAGCCCTCCCCCACCGCACCCAGCATTAGGTGCTTGCCTGGGACTTCTAGGCATTTGCCTGTGGAACCCCTAGCCATCCTTTTTTTTTTTTAAGACCGAGTTTTGCTCTCGTTCCTCAGGCTGGAGTGCAATGGTGCAATCTCGGTTCACCGCAACCTCCGCCTACCAGGTTCTATCAATCCTCCTACCTCAGTCTCCAGAGTAGCTGGGATTACAGGCATGCACCACCACGCCCAGCTAATTTTTGTATTTTTTTAGTAGAGATAGGGTTTATCAATGTTGATCAGGCTGGTCTCGAACTCCTGATCTCAGGTGATCCGCCTGCCTCGGCCTCCCAAAGTGCTGGGATTACAGGCATGAGCCACCACGACCGGCCTAGAAACCCCAGCATCTTGTGCCTTACAACCCATCTTGCCTTCCCTATATTGGGTAGTTGTCTCGTAAACACTCACAAAAACTGGGCTATTTCTCCCAAACCCATCCCTGCCCACTAAAATAAACAGCCCTGAATGAGGAGTGGTTTGCCCTATTGCACAAGACCACTCCCTTCCCCACCCAGCCACAGCAGGACTAAAGCCTGGGAAGGCAGTACTTTTAAGCTCCCTCTGGGAGAGATTGTTGTCAATAGCTCCACCTGGAAGCCCCAAACCCGGAAGTCCGGGGGTTTCCTAAGCCTTCCCACAGGCTCTCTGAGGGTTTGCCTCTCCTTCCCCACCTGCAGTGGCTCCTGGGGTTGTATCAG